TCCTGATGGTCCCTCCATGAATAGTAAGGTTCACTGCAGCCACTTGACACTCTGGAAAAATCATAAAACTTGGGAGCCGAGGAGGAAGGAAATCCTCCTGGAACAGCTGCAGATAGTGAGCTGCTCAAAGATTCTGTGCAAACGCTGCTAAATACAAGAAAACAGCTTCTTTTTTTCCGTTTCGAACACGCATTCTGTTACCTCCGCTGTATCCCGTTTGCAAGAGGCTTGAGGAAAGATTGTGCCTTTGTTCAAAACTTTAGTAACTTCTCAAATACAGCACATTTTCCCACATGAGGCTGCTCAAGTGCTTTAAAAGAATTTATGATTTACAGATATCTTGTCTAAAATGGTGGTGGCCCATGTCCCATGATCCCTTAAGGCTTTAATGTAGGAGCAGAACAGGATAGTATAGGCTGTGTTATGAGAAAGACTGAAGTAAACCAATTCACAACTAGTGATGAATATCGCTGGCGGTAAACGTGCCTCTCAGGCGTCGCTGAAAACCAGGCATGGGCGCTGCGTCAATTCAGACAGCCTCAAAAGATTGCAAGCTACAGCTGTCGTGCAAACAAAGACTGACAGGCAATTTCTAGGAAAAAACAAATCCAAACACTATTTTTAATCATGAAAAATTCTGTAAAAACCAAGGAAAAAAGAAAAAAAAACTAAAATGTGCACTCACACTGCCTTTAGTATACTGTTAAGAAAGGCAGCACTAATGTGGATGACTTCTGCAAAGAGATAGAAATACACCCTTGTATTGTCATATACTGTAAGAAGGGGGAATCTATGTAGTCACCAGTTTATAGGGAATAATGACACTCTAGATAATTGGCTCTAGTGTGCGTGTGTGCGTGTGTGCGTGTTTGTGTCTGTGTGTGCCCTGTGATGGACTGGCGTCCCTGATCTGGGTGTATCCCGCCTTGTGCCCAGTGCGGTCTGGGATAGGCTCGGGGCCACCCTGACCCTCTACTTGGGTGAGTGTTTTCTGAAAGTGATGGGAGGATAATGATGATATTAAGAGCTGTGCTTATTATCTCGGAGCTGTACCTTCTGTAGGACAGAATATAGGGCACACCCTGAGACTGAGAGTCTGATATACAACAAACTGAATTCAACATTTTGTATGTAAGTGACATCTAAAATATATGTAAATGAGATAATAGAGGTTAACTTTAAGATCGTATCTTTTACCAATCACCTCTCCAATTAATCCATAACTGTAGTTGAAGATGGGAGAATGTTTTTCCAAATGTTTGAACGTCTGCATTGGTGTTTTGCAGAAACGCACGATATTTTTTGGGATTGCGTCTTCCTGGCTTTCAGGTTATCTGAAGTCACGGAAGCAGCTCTCCACACTGAATTCTGGGGGATTTTAAGTTTCTTGCTGGAGGTGAGAATTTCTTTTTTTAACTTTCACTTTTTTGTATTCGTTTGATATTAAATGAACAATAAGCGGCACCCCTTCAACAAACAGAATGATAACTTTAAAGTTTTTTTTTTTGGTAGATTTTCATTTCATATGCATCTGGTTCGGAGGTTCGTTCCTTTTGTGTGACACTTCACAGTGCCAGGGGGGGCATGGAAAGAAAGAATAAGGGCAGAGAGGCTGGTCCCAACAGACCACCCACTGAGTTACTCATTTTTGCCGTGTTCCACAGTGCCTTAAAGGAAGGTAAGCGCCGACCGGAGCAGCGACGTTGCCTGGGAATTCGTTTCACTGAGAAGCCCTCACCATACACCCAGCGGCACGGTGGGAATTGTGCAACACCACCTGGGGAATCCTGGGTACAGTTGCCTATGGACATGACCCTACCCTTACGTGAGCACCACGACAACCCTTTCACGGGTCGCTCAAAGCCCACGGCTCGGGTTCCCGGCTGTGTAAATTTTTAAACTCGGAGCATTTCTACTCACCTGTGGCTGTGCCGCCTTCGCTCCGCCTCTTTCGCTGCTTCTGGGGAGACTGTCGCCTGGGGTCTCTGAGCCTCCCCAGAGGGCGCGCTCACTCCAGGACTGGACACTCGCCACCATAAGCTGTGAACTCTTATTAAACCAATATAATCATATAACCACATCTATATACTGTACTTCCCATCAGTCTTCCTTATTAATAACCCGGTGTTTTCTCCCGTTTGTATATAACCCACTCCGGGATTAATATTAACCACTTATCCCCTTTCAGGGAAACTCGACTACCTGCTAAATCCAGGGCTCCATTTCTCAGGAGTGTTCCCAGCAGCCCCCTCCATACCAATCACGGTCTAACACCCTGCAGGACACACATTCTCACACAGACGTTTGCTCATTACTCTAACGTTGGGGACAGGTGAGCCAATTCAGAGGCGCCAATTAGCTTGGACAACATGACTTTGGACTGCGGGAGGAAACGAGGAGCGTCTGGAGAGAACCCACACAAACCAGGGCAGAACGTGGAAACTCCGGACAGACAGAGCCACAAACTCAGAACCCCGGAGTTGTGAAGCATGTCAAGCCCACTACGGCATCAACAGATAATTGTACCTGAATGGGAAAACAAATAGTGAATAAAGGCAGAAATGCTAGCGGGGCTTTTGTTGCGTAGATAGTGGGTTCCCCCTCTCTCTGAGAGCAAGCACAAGTGGCCCATATATTACTGGCCATCCCACAGCCAATAAACGTGATCTAGTACATCATTCGAGCCGGATAAGCTACTGCGCTACTCTTTTTTAATGACAGCCACAGCACTACTCTTTCGGACATAATCTTACACCTACTTTTCCTTTCTTTATCCCGGTTTTGTGCCATGTGTAAGGGTGGGAAGCAATCCATTTTTACAGCTCTGCATCAGCACAGTGGCAGGCCACTTCTTGTGCTATAAACAGCCCAGCGATCCTGTTGGAAAGGAAGAGGAGGCAAAGCAGAAAGGATGCAGCTGCACCACACAGGGAAATTCTAGCCCAGTCCTTTATTTATCGGGGGTATTTTTTTCAAGTGCTATCAAGCTGTGCTATCACTGCATAAATACTAGGCAGTGTTTACACTAATTTGATCCTTAGCCTTTGTGATCGTATTTTTGTACAAGGATCCTGGATGCTTAAAATAACGGCAGCACACCGCAAAGGTGTCACTTGTAGCGTCAGAATTGTTTGTTTTTATAGAAGTGGCATGTCTTTGCTGAGATGGGCTTCAACGAGGAAAAAGAAACGACCAAAGTGCTTCCAGTGTAGGGTCACGGCCACGGAGATTAGCCCAAGTAGGGAAGTGTGCAGTCTGCTGACGTACTCAAAAATTAGCACACATTCATAGATTCAGGGCACTTCAGCGCGTTGTTTACTCATTGAAGGCAATTTAAATGTCATATTTCAAACTAGAACAGTTATAGAACTTCAGGATTCCTGGAAACTGTAGACTTGTGAAAATATATCGCCTATTGTAATATTATTAATCAACATTAAATTGCTGATTATAACATGATATTTTGTACAACAGGATATAATATGGAATCCTAGGAAAAACATTACAGACTTCAAGGTGATACTAAAAACGTATAAAGTAACTTAGTACTCACCCAAGGTTAAATACAGCAACATATTTTATTGTCCATCCAAAATACAATCTTTATTTGGTAACAGGCAGTTTACCTAGAAGACTATAGCTTATTTCACTCATTTATCCATGCTAGTATAAATAGAACTGAAATAAAACAATATATGAAAGTAAAGGCTGTAATCTTCAGTCTCACAGCATGTATAATCGATTGATCCAAAATTGTATCTAACCAGATCATTGGAGCTAAATAGAACAATATGTCCAGCTTGACCACCATAACGTTCAAATAACTCTTTTTGTTCAGAAAAGGGTTTGGTATTTAACTCCAAATGGGGCACGGAAGCATGGGATTTTTCATTGACTGTGAACACAATCAAAAATGGATCACAGAACAAGATTTGATACAATTGTGCCATATCCCATTTTTACTGTTGCATTCTGCACATTCAAAATATTAAACAATAACATCACTTTATTAACCCTTTACAATTTCTTGCATTAGGAATGATCTTTTTGCATACCCCAGCTTGCTCTCCATGAGACACAGACAGGGAGAGAGACTGCAGTCAGAGCACAGGGTCAGCCATTGTACAGCACCCCTAGAGCAGCTGGGGTTAAGGGCCTTGCTCAGGAGCCCAGTAGGATTCCTCTGCCAGCTGTAGGATTTGAACCAGCAACCTTCCAGCCACAGGCACAGATCCTTAGCCACAGAGCCACCGCTCCGCCCATGATGTATCTTAAACGCTGCATAATCAATGATTTTGCCTGAGTGTGTTAACCTGGACACTTGTTAAAGGAGATGTGATAATAATATTGACACATATGCTGGGAAAACCTTTCCAACTCAAATTCTTCGCCTTAAGAACCAATAAAGATACATTTGAAAATATCGGCAACAACCAGGCCTTCCTTCTGTTTGGCTCCACATAAACTGCTAAACAATTTAAATATCAAAATAGAAGCACTCAAATATGGGAATGGCAGTTTGCCCGTTACTGTATCTTGAAATTTCAAACAGCTTTTGTTGAAAAACAGTCATCCAAGCGCAACAGGATTCCCATTTTGCCAACTGTGTGCTGAGGTAACGTATTTCTAAACTGGCACCACGACGTCCTTGTTGTCACCTCACTGACCTTAAAAATCATCCTGACTGGCCACTGTGCAGTGCTCTACCACACCAGTTAACAATGAGAGTGGTCGTCGCACACGATCGCAATTCTTGCAGTTAAAAAAAATCGATTAAGATACGGTTTCAGGGTTCACCCCAAACATTTTTTTTATTATCGGTCTTCAATAACACACATTACACAATCGAAAGCGAGGAGGTCCTTTGTGGTTTGACCCAAAATGTTTCAACAAATATTAATGAACAGGGAGCCAGTTTATCAGCTGGTAGGGTTGACTCTGGTTTTCTTTTTAGAAGAAGTGAGAAGGAAGAAGACAATAAAACACACCATCCCGTTGCATAAGATTCACATTTATTTTTTTTTTGTTTCAAGTTCTAACACATTCTAAACATGCTTTTAAACACTTATTGGTCACATTTTTCACAGGTAGTTAAGAAACAGAGCAGAGCAGGCAGATTTTCACAAAGCCATAATGCAGAGACAATGAGCAGCATTCTGCTGTCTCCGTCAAGCATGGATTACACACAATTAAAAAAAAATCAACAAGCAGGTGACAATTCACACAGATTCGTCAATAAAACTAAAAAAAAAAAAACTCATCTCAATTTTTATCTGGTCGTCTGCAGCTTTCTTTTTTTCCACAGAGAGAGAGAGAAAAGACTTTAAAGAACTGATTATTTTTAAAGAAAAGGTTAAGTCCCATGCCAACCCACAGCGATGTTTTTCTCGTAGGGCTACTCGATTTCCAAGCTCTTCCAGTCCAGTCCACTGCTTAACTCTGCAACAGCCAGCTATATAGCTATTTCATTGATAAAATAGCACTTCTGGTGCAACACTTGAGCTGCTGGCCATATGAAAGAAAGCACTGCAAAGGATTAGACTGGAAAGCCTTTTTTAAAAAAAAAAAATATGGCCTGATAACACTTTTAATCTGCTTCTCCGGCTCTGTGTGTATGGTAAGCTTCATATTTCACCATAGTAACTTCAATTATCAAAGAATTCCTGTCTGCAGTGACGTCACATTTCCCTGATTTCTTCCAGGGATCCTTTTTTGTGCTGTTTAATTGAAACGGCTCATCTCCTCCTCTGTGACACACACTCGAAGCCACCAATCAGTGTACCCGTAACAGTTTAGAAAATAATGCTGATTGGCAAGAATGCGTCGTGGGAGCAGAAGAGCGAGGTTTCAGATTTTGAAAACGGCAAAAATATATCTTGACGGGCAGTGAAATGACATTCTTAGAGAAATCAACCTTTACAGAGCAGTGGCAAAGAAAATATATAGAATACAAGACATTTAACTTCTCAAAATGAATTACTTGTCATTTATATTTTTATTGAGCATGTATCTAAAGCTAGGTTTCATGTGTAATGGTTAACAATAAAAAATAGAAGGATAATTATGAAAATACTGAAATGTTCACCGGGGTCATCCGTGGGACTAAGATGTACAAATACAAACTAACAAAGCAAGCAAACTCTCAAAATACAATACTGACAAATCAGAGTAGAGTAAGAATGTGTATAATGTTGGTTAACCTGTTTTCTGGATCATTCATCCATGAACAACATATGTACACTGATTTAAAACAGAGAAGAAATCATAATAACGCTAAACTGCATTAAGGAAATCCAACAGAATATAAAACCGTGCATAAAAAGAAATAGCTTGCTTGCTTGTAACTCTACTGCCATTAACGCATTTGTTGGAACAATTCCCCATAATGAACATATTTTGCATATATAGTCTCAAAGGGTTTAGGTGTAGGGAATTTAGATATAGAATGAGGTCTATAGTTAATCCTTTTTTCAGTCTGTACAACTACAGAACTGAGCCTGCAGTATAATAAGAGAAATGTTTGTTTGACGGTGAATAGCACTGAAACTGGTCTGGGGCATCAGGTGGCAATTTCCACCAGCCATCACCGATTTTTTCCTGCATAGCAGAGGCGGCATATAGCTGTGTACAAACCAGTGCTGTTTGCCCCGATAGTAAGAAAGTTCAGTATTTCACAATAAGACACAAGATTTATAGATGTAACGAACTGAAATAACTGACCTATACAACAAAGTTTCTAAAATACGTGAGCTAAAATTAAAACCTAAAATCTTTGGTTGTTTTTACTTTGATTCAGTGTTAGCTCACTTCTAACCAACTAACTGCACTTAGCTGTCCACTGTTACAGAAGATAACGTTTATTTTGCACGCTTAGTGGCTGGTTAAAGTCGTATGAGCGCTACACAGGAAAAAACAATAAACCTTCAGCACAGGCATAAAAAAAACCCTTCTGTTCCCGAGGCCCTGGTAACAGAGGCTCAAGCAGGGGAAGCAATGTAAGAACATAAAAGGGTGCAAGAAAATATCTTAAAGATTTTCACGTCCAAAATGGCAGAAAGGGTTGAAAGAAACTGCAAAAGTCTGACACTGGTGAAGTTGGTGTTAAACCAACCAAAGGTAGTCCCTTTGCGACAGCAAACAGCAAGATGCCACAGGAGGTAGTTTCAGCAGAAAAGTGCAATTGAATTCTGTGCCAATCAATAAAGATAGTTCTCCACCCTTACAAGACATTACTACAGATTTCCATAAGCCAAGCACGGTAGGCGAGCAGCTTTGTTTCTCGGATTAATATTTGTCAGCAGTAAGAGAACATATGGGCTGAATCAACAGTGTGACATGACCTGGTAAATCGCTTTGTTCTAAGGCTTACTTTCTCTTATTACAGAGTGTCTGGAATGATGAATGCAATGTCTTTTCACAAACATGATTGAGAAGGAATTTTACAAACTATCTTGTACATAGGCTCCTAGTGGTGTGTATCTATGGAGTAAAGACATAACACTGCAAGATTTGTTCTTCTGGTACAATCAACAGTTGTTAAAAAGCTAAAAAATGCACATACATAAAAAAAAATACTGACACATCAGATATACAGCAGTTACCATTTGAATAAGAAAATTATTTTTGAAACTTCTACTTTTAATTTATGAAATGAGGATTAATGTAAGTTTCTAAAGATATTGATAAAGATGTACATACAGTAACTGCATATAATAAACACATAATTCTAGTCCTTATCCTTTTATTACTGTATATTTGGTTTACATTATAACAGCCTATGGAAATCAGTGGTAGGACATTAGAAATTGTCCCTCAGTGTTAGTATTTGGATAAAAGCACTTCCTTCACCTATAACAAAAAAAAAACAAATGCACATTACAGATCCAGCCTCTGTATTAATTACAGTCCACTTTGTAAACCACTAAGAAAAGGTGGGTTCAGAAACAACTGCCGAATACTACTTAACGGCATTAAAAAGCAAGCAAAATGATTAGCTATACTCTTCAGTCATTGTTTTCTCAGGGTGATAACACATCTGAAATAAAAGGCTGAGATTATGCAAATCAGACTTCAAACCTAGGGAAATTAATCTCTCTACACTTCAGCGACAGCAGAAACTGATAGGACATACGGACTGCTGGGATAATAGGAAACTTGAGTTCATAGATATTGTCCTACCAAAAAAAAACACTGCCAGGAAAACACAAGTTACCAGACTGCTTCACCTTGCTGTGTAATAAAAAATGAAGGACACCAACTGGAAAGAGAAGAAGGAATGAGAAATTGTTTCCTGTAGTCTTAATATGTAGTCTTCGTCAATCCATTCAGTCTATAGTGACAACGTCCAGGTAGGCATTGCTCAACTAGTAAACTGGATTCTTCCTTCACCAACTCATGAAAGAAGCGAGCAACACAAGGCATGGTTCTTCAAGGGTCATATTTTAAAATCTGATCCCTGAGCTGCAAGTCCCCTACAAGCAGGGCACTGTGGACCCATGTAGAACCCTCCCTTGCTGTTGCTGAACATGTATCTGCACTGGGGTTTACATCATATACACTAATTTACTTTACCAGCGCTTCTTCACACCTCCTTTCTGCCCTACGTTACAAGGCAGGAATGATTGCCTCTTATTATCCTGAGACAGACTGAGATATATCTTCAAAAACACCTAGCTTTGACAGCATTAAAATGAATTAAAAAAAAACAACAACAAACAAGGACCTTTTCACTTAAGGGAAGCAACCAAAAAGGAACTTCATTAAAAACACATTCACAGCAGTTAATATTAAAGGATAAAAAAAAATTCAAGTTTAAAAGAAAAGGATTTGAAGGAACAAACGGATGTAAGATGGTTCTGCCACTACATTCTTGTGAATATGAAAAGACGAGCTTTTAGGATAAATGGAGGTGGGTGTGTGAAGAGGGAAAAAAGCTACACGGAGAAGCGAAACCTTTGGGCAATTGCTACGTTAGTTTTAAGATAACGGCACAGCACATATGCACATCACGGAAAACGCACTTTTTTCATTGTCTGGTGCAACTTGTAAACACTTTTTGGAATGTTTTCAAACGGTACAATTATCGGCACCGAGCCTCACAAAGCACAACGTTGCTTGGTTTCGTGCTTCAGATCGCTGCTCGCGCTGTGCTTGAATAGAACTCACTGGTTTGCCAACCAGTTCAGAAGTAAATAGGGCCCCCGGTTTTTTAGCCTTTGTTTTCCTTCATTAGGTTTAACACAGGGATACAGAATTTAGATACTACATCTGTTGTCCCGGTACATGAAAACCAGTACATCAGGGGCAGTATCATTCCAGTGACAGTGGTTCATCTCCTGAAGTTCCCCGGTAACCGCCTGCAAGAAAAACACAAGCTGCTACTCCAACCTACTCAACACCTCTGTGAAACTCGTCAGTGACTGCTGACAACTTCAAAGCACATTTAGGGGGTCCCAAAGAAACGCTGAAAACCGGGAGCCCTCGTGGCAAAACATCTCTGAAAGTGTCCTCCCCATTGTGAAACGTGGACCAAGTTGTTCATTTTATCGCATAAAGCTCTTGCATTGATATTAACTCCTAAATACCCTTCAAACCCAAAGTTTAAAAAAAAAGAAACACCTACTAAAGGACCTACATGTCCTTATAAACTACCACTACTTAAATCTACTGTACTTCAGCATTATAATACCTGAGTAACTTCAGAATGCAACACAACACATTCACTTTACCCTGTTTAAACACAAGTCTTAAAGGACTTGAGAAAGAAAAGACCAAAGGAAACTTACAAGCAGGCCCAGCCCTACTGTCATGGCACAGTAAATCACCTCCAGGCAGCAAACTAAACTGGTCTCTCTTCCACAGTACAAACTTACAGGTCTGGCCAGCCCTATGAGATCATCAGAAACTGGCCTCTGCTTAACATCGAGTTCTTACAGTCCTTTAGACAATGATTGAAAGCACAACTAATAAGCACTGGCCTAAAGCTGTATGCTGAATCAAAGGCTATTTTGTTTTTATATGGACTTTCCAAAGTTATTCTGATTTGTATTGAAGTTCCAGAAACAGGGATTTTTTCAGCTCCAGCTCCTGTTCAATTTGATGGAATACATGTCTTTTTTTTTAAACCAAAAAAAAAGAAGAAGACATGCACATTCTTCTGTTCAAATAACGTCTGAAACCCATCAAGACTGTTTGTCACCCATCAAGTGGGGTGGTTCAATCTTTGCCCTGGATTGAGGTGTGTTGCAGTTTTTCAAGGTCCACTGGAACCATCTGCATATGGAGAGCTGGTATAGCTGTTAAATTGGCCCAGTTCATCCAGTAACCAGCTGGTTCAGCTGAGCAGTGTTGGGAGTGAAATCCAGAATGTAGCATTATAACCAGACTGAACCTGACTTAGTACAAGAGTGTTACAGTAAGTAAAGACAGTTTTACTGATTATTTCTAAAGCTTTCATTGTGAAGTCCATATAGAGTCTCACATAGAGTGAGATGTCTTCCTGGACACTTTATCCATCATGAATAAATCATGAATAAAAGGTCATAATGTCCACATAGGAAATACTCGCTTAGATTTTATATTGGCAGCATCTTTAGCCTTCTGTACAATGGTGGGACAATGCCAGATGAGATACACAGAGGCTCAGAGTGATTAGAAACCATGCACTGATTTGTCCCACAGAGTCAAGCTGAGGAGGCACCTGATTTCACTCGGGTCTGGAAAGAAGCATTTAAATGGTGGTGACAAAGAAGTCCAGGTCTGGATATTTGGTGGGGGAAATCATGATGGAAATCAGTTTGGTTTCACTGGTATTAATGCTATTAGGGAATCCATACTGTCTTGGCTACTTCAGCTTCAACCTGAAGAACTAATCTGTAATGGGTATATGAAAACTTGTAGAGACATGGAACAAGTGTATTCCCATACAGGGGCTGGGAAACACTGAATAATCTGTTTAACACTGCGATCACGATGTGAAAATATCAGGCCTTTCTGTCCTTACTTAGTGAAACATCCTTATATATAAGAGTGATCCCACTATAACCATCAGAAGAGAAAACAGTATGAGAAAGGTAGATATATATCCCGAACCTTTCCAGCTATGCCTGAGGTATGTCTGCTAATAGCAGTATATTCTCCTGAGCGACCTTCAGCACAGCACATGAGCTCAAGGCCAATTTTTACCACTTCAGGCACCCTGGAAGTACTGTGCATAACGTCTGCCAACTTTGGTCAACTATGGAAACAAAATATTTTTCCCCATTTCCCATCCAAGAAATTTGCAAAATACCCGTATTTTAATATTAATGCTTCTTTTGTTTTCATTCGAAATTATTTGTGCCCAGATACCCTTATTTTAACACGTAAATGAGGTAGAATTGCACATTGGAATTGGAGGAAGCTGATGTTATTACGGAACCACTTTGTAGTTTGTATTTTCTTATTTTTCGGCAAAAACAAAAAAAAACCCAAACAGGTTATTTGTTGGTTTTTAAAAAGCAGTTTGCTTGGGGGAGAGGTGCTGCGGGCTGTGAAGATCTAACCCTATTTAGCTCTTACAGACTGCTTCCACCCCTTTGTGACAGAAAGATAACCAGCAATTAACAGTTCTGGTAGCATCAGAGTCAAGAAGCTGAACTGGCACTACACTTCAAAGTTATCACTTCCTGTAATTCTGTACGAATTATAGATATTTTTTCCATTCACGGGCAGCAACTTATGCTGACTAGTCAGAGTGAAACGCACCACCCAAAAATGGAATGACCGAACATACAACCTCAACCTGGAAAAGACTTTCTTTATAACTGCTTCCCATGCAAGAGAAAGAAGGGGATAATGCAGACTGTTCACCGTGCTCCTGCAAATCTATCTTGAAGTGATAAAATGACCTGCAGCTTTTTCTAAGATCAATACATTGTGTCTGTGTGGATGGTATGCAGACAACTCCAAAGTTAAATTACTTAAATAAACCACCACGGAGCTTTAAGCTAAGCTCCAAAAGGCAAACAGAGAACTGTCATTTATTTTTCCATGAAGTACATGGTCACTTGCAGGATGAAGGATGTGTATGCTAACACAGTTCCCTTCAGTAACATGGAATCACCTATACTCTTCCTCCTATCTCTGGTGGTAGTTTAATCACACCGCTTCATTTTCGCTGGGTGTAACACGGATGAAAAAGAACCACGATCCCCCAAGTAAAACACTCCAAAAGAAATGAGTGAGCCAACCGTTAAAAAAAAAAACACAAGCAGAAGTAAATTACAGAATACTCTGGCCTGTGATATAAAACCAAACTTCATAGGACAAACGCGGGCCTTCAGAATCTTTGGCATTTAAAAGCAAAAAAAAAAATACTTTCAAACTACAAAGTGGCTGCTTCCTAATGTTTTAACTATTTTACATGAAAGAAAACAAGAACAAATTATCAGATGGGAAAGGGGTGTGGGATATTGAGGAAAATGGTACCTGAAATAATATCGTGTTCCTGAGGTAGTCTTTCATTAAAACAATCAAATCATTATATCTCAGTCCATATTTAGAAAGAAAATAAAAATATAAAAACTAGTCCTAAAAATGGCAACACTGTAACATTAAACATTGGACACACTGTAAACTGCAAGAACAATGCATTTTCTGCATATTTTTTTGTACAGAAGCATGTGCACTGTGTTGTAGATCATACATTCAGCTCTGTCGTGTAATAAATATATAAGAAAAAAATAGTAAAAAATAGCTGCTTGTCACATTCACAGGGGTTATTCCCCAACCCCACAAGGTCGCTCCTGGTGATCCAATGAGCTCAGTTCCCTGTCGCAGGTCCCACGTTAAGGCAGGGAGAATTCATAGGCCTGTAGCTGTTGAGGCTGGATTTACAGGAGTGCAGGACTGCTTTAAACAGGAGAGGCAACTGCTCCAAAGGAACATTGACCATTTTCCCTAAAACAGAAGCACCAAGGATATTAGTGCAACAAAAGGCAGCCCCATGGCGATCAGGATCTTTTCTGCATTAAAAAGGTTAATCACAAACAAAGAAATGGTGTGTCTCTAAGCCTGGCTTGAAACAAAATAGACTGTCCGTGGTTTTATTTCAGTTGTTCCAAGATCAACAGTACAACCTGAACCAGAAAAGAAATTACTGAACACAACGTTCATTCACTTCATTTTAGCAGCATAACTAGATGGTGGTATTTTTCATGCAAACCTCTACAAACTCACAAATAATAATCTGTGTTAAGCAAAGCTTTGATTCTAAAACAAATAACAGCCATTGTTTGGGGGGCACGTATCATCTTCCCTGAAGATCATTAAAGAATTCAGCTATATATTTTTTATGTAACAAACAAATATTGATATCTGCTACTGCCATATGCTCCCATTCATAGGTCGGATGATCAATTTATGTTAAGAGTTTCAAATGAAATTGAGAGAAGATCACATAGACAGTAGTATTTATTTCAGCTATTTAAAAGTTCTGCCTTCATTAAATAAATTGTCCTGTGCTCCCAAATAGCCAAATCTTAAAATGTTACCAGTTAAAGGGGAACTGCAGTCCCAGTTTCTCAGTTATTAAATCTCGATAACAAAATAAAATTGACGGTATAGAAAAATTTTACAAACTTCCAATCAAGCACAAGACTGTGAACTTTCTGAACATACTAAAGTACTGTGTCACCATGTGTTCGAGTTCCCATGAACTGCGACGTGATGCGGCCCTTCCTGCTCACTAGTCCCTATAATGACTGATGTGATGTGATGGACGAGCAAATAAACACAGGTTGTGCACCAGACATTTTACTGCTGAAAAACGTGATCTTCAAAAGCAGACTTAACAAGTATGTAGTATTTGTTGGCAAAACCGTCTCAAATTCGATAGCCATATTTCTATTGAATTAAAAGAGATGTCTTCACAAGCCTGCTTCTTTACAATGTAATAGGGCTGCAACACTACACTGGATGTTTTGTTGCCCCGTTCTGAATTGCAGAATGTGGCACTGGTGTGTAATACTTATGGGGTTCAATATAGCCTCAGCCTGGATGGCTTCCTCTGGCTGGTGATTGGACATTACCTGCTATGCAGCGAATCTCGGGTAGACACATCATGAGCTCCGGGAACCTTTTGGGTTGGTGTGGATACTTGTACTCTGTGTAGTCCTGGCACACATACCAGTACTGCTTGTTCAGTTGCTCCAGCTGGGAAACATTGGTGAGACCTCTGATATCTGCTTAGAGAGAAGAAGGAACACCGGGTCACATTGCGTGGAGGTCTGGGGCTGCCCCCTGGTTTTCTTTTTTGGGAAAGGATCTGCAGTGATTGAGGCAGAAAGTATTACCTTGATTTAGGAAGTTGATGGCTTTCATGCAGGCATATTCCTCGTTGCTGACCTTCAGCTGATGAAACTTGCGAAAGAGATATATCAAACGCTCCATAACTTCCATTCCATCCTCACTAAACCTAAAGGAACAAGACAATGGGAAATCAACCAAAAAACCCAGTAAGTTTTATTTACTTGCCAGACCTGAAAACTCAAAAGAGCCCAGGTCTGCTCTGCTGGATAAGCACGTATTAAACTCCCGTATCCTGCACATAAAAATGGTAAATAATCTGTTTGATTAGCTCAGTTCTTGGAAAGAGTTATAACTGATAATCACAATAAAAGACAACATTATTCTTACGCTAATCAATGTCTTATACAATCTAATATATTATTATTTCTATTTTGGCTAAGGGGATTTTAATTTTAAAATGAGCGAGTAATAATGTAGAAAACCAGAAAAATGTTTTGATTACTCTGACGTGTTTGCACTTTTTTGATTTAAAAAACCCTTTTGTTGTCAAGGAAGTTCAGGCATCAAAGACACTGCAGGTGTAAAGCTGCAGTGGTTATCTTTTCTTTACCAAATGAAATTTCACCCCTGAACAACAACCGCCTTGTTTAATGTCTCAAGATAGGCACACCAGGAATTTTGCAGCTGCTTTAGTCTGTATCTGTCCAGAAATTTTTCATTTCCTTTTTCTCATTATATCACTCCCCTTCCATTCACTGAAATGGAGCTTTGTTCATTTGTTCTGACTCGGAACTCCTCCGCAGGACTTAACAAGTGATAAATGGTCTGGGCATTTAAAGGTGGGAGACAATCCCTGTACACTCCGCATTTGTGATCTTCAGCTGTTACTGAGGCCAATTCAGGGCTCTAGGACACTCACCTTATGTTGCACTGAAAATAAAGCACAGCTAGGAAAGCCATCTCAGTCTTAAGACAGCACGGAATGTACCTGTTCTTAAACGGAAATGATGAATGCTTGTGTATAATTATAATTATAATTATAATGTCTTATAACGATATAGTCATCATAAAAGAATCCTTAAGCATTTTACACACCCACCCTAATGCAACCACCTGTGCAGTGCAGCCCCCACCTGGGTGAGACACAGTGTCCATTATGCACCTACAGAACCAGTGTGGAGCGGATCAGAAGAAGCGTGAAATGACTTTCCAAGTTTAATTTCACAACTGAACTCAGGGAACGTTGGAGTGGTGTGATTATTCAGGCTCTGAGTGGGATGTAACCTGAAAAGCAGGGTCCATAATGTTCCTCTTTAAAAAGTGGCACGGGATCTTTAATGACCAAGAAGTCACGACCCCAGTCTAACATCACATCCAAAGAGGACAGCACCTCCTACGGCTCAGAATTATTTTGGAAAGTCTGGTCCAGAGGGACCTGTGCTCCGTTCATACTACTTGATCAGCAGCCTGGATTTCCTTGGAGTTTTCTTATCCCAGTCCTGACCAGGCCAGCCTTGCTTATCTTCCCAGATCTGACCTAATCAGACGACAAGGTGACCGGGTAGAATATAAAACTGCAGATTCAAAACAAGCGGTATTCTAGATAAAATGAGGCTTGTGGGGATGAGTCATATTTTTCTGACTTGTCATGCCTCATGGAAATCAGGCGATACAGGTCACATGGTGCATTTTAGGGTAGTGCCAAGCAACCCAGTTTTCTAACTATTATTTCATATATCTACATGCACGCAAACTTAGGGCACTATGACAAGAAAGAGCACACACAGACCCCTCCTCTGTTTAATCTTCATAAACATAACACCCAAGAATTACGTGCATTAAAAACAATTATTGATTATCATTAATCATTGTAGTTTTGGCTCATTCCATTTAGCTGTGGCCCTAAGACGAGGAGGCATGTGAAGGAGAAAAGACTTAAACTTGCATGTAGAATTTATAGGTCTATCTTCGGTTACGCAAACCTGCATAATTCATGTTTCGGCTTGAGTTTTACATGTGCAAATGTCAGCTTTAACTGCAGTGAAGTCCTAAATGTGCATCTGTTGCCTCACGTGCATTGGCATACCTTATGTCAAACAGAAGAGAAGAAGAAATCCAAAAGGAGATGAGGAAATGTATAATATAACTTTATAAAATAACCTTTCATAATATCATACTCATATAGTTTAATGGGGGAGTACTGCATAATTTAAAAAAGTAGTGATTAAAACTGTTGCATTTCACTATATATAATAGTTACATGCCAGTCAGGGAATACTTTGAATGTCTGTGGGCTTGTAATTAACTACGATTAAGGGATTATCAGTGGAGTCACTCACAGATAGAGATCGTTGTAAAAACATTTAACAAAGCTGAGGGCCAGCCTGTTACTTGGAGGTCCACCACGTCTCATACATTTTAATAAAAAAAGTCTCGCATCCCTGCTAAGGAAGCTTAATACCATGAAATGTTTTGAATGGTGTAACAATTTTGGATAGTTGCCTACTCATTGAAGCAATCCAGTACTAAATCACGGATCTCATACTCAACAGAGAGACACTATGAAATCAGCACAGAGATTCAAGAGCAATAAATCTGACGAAAAATTAGGAGGGAAAGGTGAAAGAGAGATATTTCAGGACTAATTTATAGTACAAGAAAGGACTAATCTGAAATGTCCAAATCCTTGCATGTTTTATATATTAAAGACAAGCATATCCACATTCCTCCCACTGGTTTCCTGATCAATCTGCAGCATTCTGGCTCTTTTCCGACGCGGTAAATTCAGTGTGGTAAATAAACACATTATATGTGTGAATGCATGTGTATGTGTGGCTGATTTAGTGCCTGTGGAATAGAGACTTATTTCTTAGTGAATGTAAGAAAAACGACATTTTCTTGGGAGGAGAAAGAAATGTGAAGATTTTAAAGCATAAGAGAACTGTAAGCATGTAATATATCCTCTTCTATTCAGTTGTTGGTGGCCTGTTGAAGGATTTAATAATAAGCTATTTAATATAGGTCAAACAGAGGTAAAATAAAATTAACTTGCAGATCTGACAAATTTGTACAACATGTATAAATCGAAACCAACAGCAAGCCTTTCCCCATAAAACAAAGTACATAATTGCCGCAGAACACACAAATTAGAAGAAAAAAAACATTTGGTCACATAATCTTCCAAAGAAAAGCACGTTCTTCCCAACAAGCTTTGCACTCCAACTTCTAAAGAAACATCTGAACTTTAGGCAGACAAGACAAATAGGTAAAACATGCAGAAGGTCAGTGAGGATGTTTGGTAACTCTTACTGAGCAGTACGTCTCCCACACTGTCTCCGCACACCGACTTGGAGAAAACATCACTCTTCACTTCAACATCACTAATTGTCTGATGCTCTACTGATACAGCCTTTAGTGTCACGGCCAATATGGTTAATATTTCAGACATCGTGAAGCAGAGAGGTCCAAAGAATCTGTTTTTGAAACATAAATTAAAGCCAGCTAGAGAGCAGAGCTTATTCAAGCACTCCAAAGTGACCTAAACACACACAAAGCAGATTGACATTTGCCCATGATATGCAAAAAAATAATTCACACACCCAAGCACGTAACTCAGCTTGCCTTTGGTGTTTGTAAGATAATGCCACGCAAAAATGATAAAAGGCCAGTAAAAAATAATTCTCACCACAGAGGCAAACAAAAATATTTCCAGCTAATTATCCAGGTTTGACAAGAGAAGTGTATAAGAATTGTTAATTTTGTAACTCACAATGAAGCTTTAAGTAAAGACCGCTGTGCCCTTTTCTCTTCAGGATTTCCTGGAGGTTTTGAAAGTCAGCTGCTGCAGTTTGTTAAAAACCGCCAGAAGCGTCTCTTACCTGTGATGGAACTGTACCAGTGATCCCCTTCTTTGTTTGTGTTAATGACTAAAACAGCAGATTAATTTCCTGTCAACTAGGTGTGGGATATTGCAATGATACAATGAAGAATTCAGTTTCAGCCAGACCTATATGAATTGAATTGTTCCTAGGAGGTACATAGTTTAAGTCACAAGAATGACTTTTGAGCTCTCTAAAAAGTACAGAGTACAGAAATGATTAGCTCATGGTGCCTTGGATTTTTACATTGTTCCCAAATACCATGTCCTGCTTGGAACCAGAGCAATCAAAGTTTCATTTCCACATTGCTATCATGGATGTCGGAAGGGCATTCTGTGGAATGACAAGGAGAGCAGTGGAGACCCTGTGCGTAGAGGCAAAAGGGGCAACATGGAGGCTAGCCCAGGCTCAGGGGGTCGGACGATGTCAGTATAGAAACCTAGGCTCTCAGGCCATGGTCGTGGGGCGACCTGGTGCTAGGCAGGTCTTACGACAACGTACCCTCAATGCTGAGCCAGGAGCAGAGCAGACACAGGAAGTAAATAGGCTACACAACAAGACACACTGGAAAGACATGAATAATCACAAGGAACTAGGAACAGGACAGAAGACCAGCACCCTAGGTGTAGAGGGTGTGACAACTGCTCATGAGCTCCTCCAGCTGTAAGCCCAGTGCTCACCCATGCAGCTCGTCGTCAGAAGGCGTGTACTTGGAGGTGACATCAGCCAGGTCCCCAAAGATCTGTGGGCTGTAGACAGTCAGGCAGGACAGCAGGATAAGCTCCTGCCAGGTGGAGCTCAGAAGGCAGGTGTAGTCCTCGATGGACAGCTCGCAGAAGAAGGGCAGCTTCTTGATCCAGGCGATCTGTCGAAAGAGCAGCTCGTCTGCCAGTCGGCACAGCAGTGCAAACAGCTCCACCTGTGTGACTTTATACCTGAGAGAGAGAGAAGGAAGAGAGAGATGATCCCTGGTTTTAGTGCTGCCAGGAGACGGCCAAGTGTAATCAGGAGGACCCTGTTCAGCTACAAAAAAGTCAGAACCACTTTGATTTATTTTGCCTTGTTTTATTTCCAAGAACTGTTAAATGTTAGCAGTTTAATTGTTGGAGATAAATAGGTTTTCTGGCATTCTCAACATCCCTACCACATTAAGAAATGAGTATGCATAAAGCCCACAAGCTGGCTGAAATATCTGGGGGCAAAAATATGTTTAATCACCCTCTTCTTCGGGTTAAGCACGCAGCTAATGTGAGCAAGAGGAGGAGGTTTAGAGTCACAGTGATCATTTGAATTGCTTTGATGCTTCGATTTCCAGATTCTTGCACTTATAAAATCAAATTACAATACAATTCATAACCAATAAGCGATTGACAGCTTTTCACCACAGCTCTACTAGAACCTTCTCTGAGCCCATTTGTGTTGAAATATCACTCTGCTCCTCCTGAACTCAACCCCAGTGTTATAAGATACACTTATATATATATATATTCAGGTTAATGAAGTTAGAAGCTGTACAGTTTGACCACCATTTAACAATTAGTTAAGCACACTATATGCACTCATGGGCTAAAATCTAATGAGAGAACGAGGATATGGACTGCAAAAACGAGGACGTCTTTCTAGGATTTTCTGCCAATGCACATTTCAGATGTACACAAGGGGTTGTAGACTCGAGTCTGAGAATTGCCGGTTTAAGGGTCCTGCAGGTTTTTCTCCCTACTGCACAATCTCACTGATGAAAGGTCCTGCAACGTTTAGTGAAATGAATTGCTGTAGGAGGAATAACTGCGAAAGCAATCAAAAACCTTTTTGATGACGTCCCACTCACCCGTCTTCTATCAGCATAGGTGTACTCAAAGGCTCCAGGTCTTCGGCTGCTACGAGCTGGGAAATGAGGGTTTGCGATTGGGGGTACAAGCTCCGTGCCTGGGGGGGCAGCAGTCCCGACTGGGCAGCGTAGCTAAAAAGGTGTGGCAGGAACTGGTAGTGCGAGGACATTGGAGTGCCAATGTACTGATCCCTGAGTGCAGCAGTGTATCCATTCATCTCCGCAGACCTACTGGGGAAGGCAAGCACACAGAACCTGCTGTTAGGGTCCAGACACTTGCCATGTGCGCAGGCACAGAGGTGCCACTACAGGTCCAAGAGTATCCCTGCGTCTTCTGGTGCTCATCCTAAATCACCTCTGAGCCCTTAATTGAACTCATAAATAACACAGGTTTCAGAGGTTATAATAATCCATATCTTAATCATACGACTTATATAACGCTTTTCTGGACACTCCACTTAAAAGTTCTGTACAGGTAATGGGGGATCCCACTACCACCACCAATGTGTAGCCCCACCTGGGTGATGCGATGGCAGCCAAAGTGCGCCAGTCTGCTCACAATACACCAGCTATCGGAGAGGAGAAGAACAGAGGGATGATGATAGATCGGGATTATTAGGAGGCCATGGTTGGTGGAGGCCAGGGGGAAATTGTGCCAGGAAGCTGTGCCAGTAAGCTCTCAATAAGGTATACATAGAGGGCATTAGACTTTTTTCCCAAGCATCTATCCACCAGCTAATGTCATTGGTGCCCATGCAGCAATCCACCTGCTAGCCTTAATGGCGTTTTTGAAGAGAGGGGCACTTCAAGGACGGGGTTGAAGGGAGAAACATGTTCAACACGACCCGGTTACGACCCGCTCGGACCTGAGCGACGTGCTTACGAGATTAAAAAATAGTTTGAGCTGTCATATTTTTTTTTAAGCAACTGGCAAAACGCTGGGCAGATCCAACAAGCAAAATGTTTTTGTTTGCTATCATTATCCAGTTCATCGTCACTACGCTGGCTGCAAACTGTTTTAATACCGTTTTAAACAAGCGTAACATATTTACAAAAGGCTTATTTTAACAAGGGGGACAGCGATCCAGCCCTTTTTCCCTGAAATGGGAGCGTTGCCCGTTACTTTAAATTCAGAGGAATCCAACTCCATTCCTGCATAACCAACTCCAATATAAACATTCCTTTAGAAGACTACTACTTAATGACACAAAAGATGCAGCAAGAGGAGAGTAAACTGTAAAGAAAATATTCGAGAATAACCTTGAGAAGAATCACAAGGTCAACTACAAGACTATAAAATGGCTTCTGCGTAGGAGACATGCTGATGAATTTTATGTCCTTGTGACGGCCATAGAATCATGACTCCGATCCAGCTAGACCTTTTGGTAAGGGAAAACCTTTTTTATATTCCAATTTCATATGCAAAAATGAAAATGTAAAACACGGTATATTTGAATGAAATTAAAAGCACGTTTGAGAAAGATGGACAGGAAAACCCAAACAGAGAAAAAAATAACAGTAAGAAATACCATTACACAGATTACATAGTGATTTAACTATTTCAAAGGCCTTCAGCTTTACAATAGACTAATCAACTGATGAGACAGTCACAGTGGCGACAGAGGGAAGAGTTTTGCCTTCTGTCTGTACCGGTAATAAAATGTAAAGTAAGAAAATGGAGGGAAAAAAAAACGGCTGCAGTTGACAAGGTATCAAGTGATTTTGTTTCTGATCAAAGTACATTCCTTCATAGTGTTATCCAGAATTTCAGTCATTTTATAACTTCTGATAGATGTTAACAACCGGAAAGGTCCAAACAAAGAATGGAACTGACTGAAAAACAAGAAGAACCACCACCCAAGTTAGAATTCCTAGATTAAGAGTCGGCATTTAACTCTTGGTATTTGCTACTTAACTCCTTCAAAGATGTCATTCAGTAAAAAGTATATTCGATATCTTCATACTTAAACCCTTGAAACTGGGGTAGCAGCATAGAGTAGTGATTAGGACTTTGGATTCCTGGCCCTCAAATGTTGAGGCAGTGCTGTTGTAACCTTCAGCAAAGTACCAAACCTAGATTGCATCTACTGTATAAATGGCCACCAAAATGTGTATGTAAAAACAGGAAGAGGCAACAAGTGGACAAAAGCATCAGCAAAAAAATCTACAGTAACAAGAAACTGTTGCAATTTCTGACACAAACATCCTTTCCAAATTCATAGGTACACAGACTTAAGGCCTTAAGTCTGCCAATAGCCTCTGCCTATAAAAAAAAAGAATGTTTTTTTCTCTGGAGCATGGGCCGAAAATTCATTTAATTAACGGTGCAGTCCCTTTGAGCTACAATGATCACGTCGAAGTGGTGTTGTTGTGAATGCGTGTGTTTGTATAACAGTAAAGTTGCTACTGTACGTACTGTGACACAAAACCCTTTTCAGCCCACAAACACCATGATCAGCCCTGTAGGGAGAAAACGACAGTAGGCAATCCCCAAAAAGGGCTCACTCAAAAACCGCAAACTTTTTCTACGTTATACCTGCCTTTTGACTATAAGGGAAAGTGTAGGAGAAAACATACAGTGACTGGCCTGTGTCTGAAACCTCAAAACATCCTGCCTCTATGGAACCCATGAGGGAACACAGCGCATGCACTGTGGCTAAGGATCTGTGCCTGGGGCTGGAAGGTTGCAGGTTCGAAACCCGCGGCCGGCAGAGGAATCCTACTCCGTTGGGCTCCTGAGCAAGGCCCTTAACCCCAACTGCTCCAGGGGCGCTATATAAATGTCTGAGCCTGCGCTCTGACCCCCAGCTTCTCTCCCTGTCTGTGTGTCTCACAAAGAGCAAGCTGGGGTCTGCGAAAAGACAAATTCATAATACAAGAAATTGTATATGGCCAATAAAGTCAACTCTCTCTCACAGTGTTTGCTGAATAGTTGACAGTTGAGAGGAGGATATTCACTGTGACGTGGGAAGTTTCAAAGAGACACACACCTTGATGATAGAGTTGAAGCAGGAGAAGGCTGATTGCCCTCAGACACCCCGTTGCCTGGCGAGCTGTGATCACTGTCGCCATTATTACTCCATGTATGCTCAGGTATGCTGGCCTCCTCTTTGAATTCTTGTCCAGTCATGATTCGTTCGATCTCCTCATCTGATATCTGACAAAACACAAAAGTCCGTTTAGAGCGGCGACTGGTATTTCATATGAGCACCGGGAATTATTCACATCTCGTGGAGCGGGTGCAAAAACCGCTCCAAATTTTCCTGAGCGCGCCAGGAAAACCTCTCAAGCTATAACAAAGCAAGAAACAGAAAAGACACGGAACAGGTTTTGGTAAAATTGGTCAGAGGTTAGGGCAGCTTGAAGGAATGGCAGTTAACGCTGCTGCTTCACAGCGCAAGGGTTCTGGGTTTGATTCGAGACGGGGGCACATTCTGTGTGGAGTTTGCATGTTTGCATGTTCAGGTTTCCTGAGATAAGCTATATAGGCATAAAGGTGTCTCCGAATTGTCTGGTGAATGTACAACCAGGGATGGATTAGTGTCCCATCCACAGAGGAGTCCAACCTTACACCCTTTACCTCTGGAAGGTTCTGGGTGTCTATGGCCCTTTTCCAGGAATGAACAGTTTTCTGCTAATGGATGGATGACCGAAAGTGGAACTACTTTTTGGCCTGCCGTAAACAGCTTTAAAGTCATCCTTGGGTTTTGTCACATCCGAGACTGTTCTTGTAGCTGGGGGTATGGCTGTGGAGGTGTGTATTGACATTAGGAAACATCACCCCTACAATTCCACAGGATTATGAGTTAGACTGTTTTCATACAGGCTTAGCTTTAAACCACCACCGGTTATTTTACTTTGAAAAGATGTATGAATCACATGGGCTTTGTTTTCCTAGGTCGCTTTTCTTGTTTGTTCAGGACTGAGTTCACATGTGCTTGCACTGCAATAATAAACAGTGCCTTGAAATACTTTATTAAGGATGGCAGTGATTGCGACAAAGATAACGTGTATGAGGTGGGTATTTTCTTAGTAGTGCTCTACTGTTTTGTAAACAGAAATGATTACCCCCAAGCAGAGAATTCAAATGATTTTCTGTTTTATCAATTTCCGCTTGAATACAGATGTATGACCCTATTTTGTGGCTTCTGCTGTCCACACGCTTCTTGACACATTTTTGCGTTAACTACCGGAACAGCTGGTGAAATGCAACTTTCATGTTCCGCACGTGGTCCTTTTTTATCAGATAGAACAAGTTCCTTTTGTAGGTTTCAAAGTGAACTGAACTCAGTGCTTTGTGTTCCAATCAAACTTTTCCATTCACTTGACGCTCCAAATGAACCAAACCATAACGAATAGGTAAAAAACTAGTGTCAACAGTCCTTCGTATAAGAAAGTAAAGAGTTAAATCTAGGGAAAATATTCTCTTAATAAACAGGAATTACTGGCTTTTGGCGGGAAGTATTCGATAGTTTCGTTTTCATAGATGTTAATCAAATTTGGAAATGCCAGTCTCTGATTACAGTAGTTATCTCTATACCAACACAGGAGAAATGACAAAGTGCAAACAGACTCTACTGCACTACTTGCCCATTCAGCCATTAATATTTTTACACTAGCTGGATGGGCAATCACCACTGGAAGAGAATTGTATCCCTGCCAGATGGCACCATGGGCCTCTGGTTTACTGGGTGCTGAGAGACGTCTAATCCCACTCATCCCAATTCTGCCTCTGAGAGGTCTGAGCCCCCTGTGCCGAATCCCGATCACAGTCATATAGTGACATGACCCAGACTGAAGCCCGTGACTTCTGGGCTTCAAAGCTCAACCAAAGCTTATAAAAAACAATCTTTATTCAAAACCTCAAAACCTCAAAGTTGGACACACACTGCAAGTCTTCTATTTCTAGTACAGGGACAGGTGACAAAACAGTGGATCAAAAAAAAACAGAACTGTGAGTTCTTTTACATAATTCTGTGCTTTGGGGGGCGCTAGTAATGCGCTCTAAACCTTTAATGTGAGTTAACGTTTCAAGCTACGCACAATTTCAGTATCTTCTCAGAAAATCTGGCTGTTTTATTCATTTTTATCTCTCTGTAGGCTTAAATACCACAATGTAAACTAATGAATTAACCAAAATGAATGGCAAAATACCAAACATATGCAGAAGGCAGCACGCCTCTCTTGAATACACAATTTTATCTTTGCACAAGGACACACTCTTTAAGAAAGCTATTGATACGAGGAATGTCAGTGGGAAGTCTTGCACTTTGCTAATGGCATATGGGAATTGTAAACAGACATTTTGAAACTACTTAAGTGATTCGGTGTTATGAAGCGCATGATTCAAGAACAGTTTAAAAATTCATTAGCGATTTTCTGTTCATGTCTTACCTTAACAAAATGGAAGGTACTGAAACCATTGACAATGCCTACACAACTGCGTGGACAGAGTTCAGAGGAAGGTAAATTGCAGACTGTACACGCTGCAGTAATGTAGTGCAAACACCTTTTGTGTTGCGTGATTGAAAAGGATTGAAGCTGTATTATGTTCTGAAATGGAGTAGCTGTCCTACATTGACCGGGTTGTACAAGACACAGCATGACAAGTCGTTACATGAATCAATAAGACATTCAGCTGGCTGTTCATGCTCAACATGCTCAAGTCACAGTACACAGCTACAGAAGCCCTCAGCAGAATTCACAGCATTCATTTGGAAAGAAAAGAGAATAAAGATTTCTATTGCTGGATCACGATAATGATACTGGATATGGACCAATACACATCCAAGACCCAGAACCAAGATGGATTTGATTATTTCAACAATTAACCAATGTGACAATGAGTAAATGGCAAAGGTTTCATTGGTTAAATCACTGTACTTCAGGGAGCAAGAATAGGTGATGAATTTATCTGTCTAAAGAAGCAACACATATACAAGTCATATGAAAGAATAATGTTTAACTCTTGAGGTTCCTCAACGCTGAGAAAGACGCCTAAGGGAGACTTATAATTCCACCTTTCGTGCCGATAAATTCAAAGTTTGCAGGAACCGACACCCATTTTGTCCTTATTAGGGCTCGGCTCTGAGGAGGGCAAAACCAGCGAAATAATTCATGCAGTTTTTATGCTCTTAAAATAAACCATAAAACTCAAAAGTGTTTCTTATAACATATATGTTGGCTGTTGTAATAATACTATCATCAGCATCAAATAAGCTGTTAGAAATAAGGCCAAGACCATCTTGCAATGTAACATGAGCCATTTTATAACAATGGTCACCATGACCCTAAATAAAGAAATAACGGTGCTGCAATCGTTGTCACCACAGTATAAAGGGGTACAAAAGTATTAAAATATCATAAACACTGAAACTACATTCATTTTAATGACAGCAGACCTTCCAAGGCCACTGAGCATGTGTTAAAACTAATCCCATTCTTATCCCATTGCTGTATACTAGTTAGCTGATGTATTGAAACATCTGTTTTTTTGTGCACTGTGGAGAAATGAAATTTGGGTTCAATTCCAGACTGGAGGGACTGTCTGTATGGAGTTTGCATGCTCTTCCCAACGGCACCCGCGTATCCTCCTGACCTTCTGGTTTCTTCCCACAGTCCAAACATGGACACTGGTAGGTTAACTGGTGTCTGGGAAAACTGGCCCTGGTGTGAGTGAATGTGTGCATGTCTGTGTTTTTTGTCTGCCCTAAAATTGGACTGGTGTCCCATCCAGAGTGTATCCTGCTCCGTGCCCCTTGCTGGCTGGGATAAGCTCTGGCTTCTCCGTTACCCAGAAATGTAAGAAGCGGTTTAAAGTTAGACTGCTGGACGGACGAACAGAATGGACAGGAATGTAGTCAGTAAACCCCAGACGGCGCTATATAGTCTGAATGTGGCCACCATTTTTGTCTACCTTGGCTGACATTGTCACTACTCCACAATGCGCAGCAGTGTAAATGGCTCAAGCAAGATTACAGGTTAAGAGCAAAAGAGAGGAAAATAAGGAGAGTTACCTGGACAGGCCCGATACTTTTGTTTCTCCCTCCTGGCATCCCATCCTCTCTGATTGCTGCGAAGGATAAACAGTGAAATGGGTCAAGAACAGCAGAAACAAGCCCCACCGGGCTCACTCACATGCTGCATAGTGTCTCCTCAAACACAGCGCTGTTTTTGCCAGTAACATATCCAAGAACATCTTTTATCTCTGTACTTTCCAATGTGCTTGGTTCAGGCAGCAAAAGTTGAAAACATCGATATCAGCGATAATAACTCAGAGACAAGTATAGCTGTACACTGACAAAGCAAGCATATAATTTGGATGTTTTTGTTCCTCCCAGTTTGTACAATCCTTATATGCAGTTAACACAGCACAACAGCTAGAAGCCCCCCTCAACAAAATACCCATTTTCAAAAAAAAAAAAAATACACAAGGACCACCCTGCGAAACACAATTAGTTCTATCACAAAAACCCCTCCAACGTTCCAAGGGAAAAAACCAAAAAAAACCCCTCCAAAAAAAAAAAGTATTCCTTCCTTTAACCAATGTCTGTTGTATATAGTACAACTTCAGGTTTTAGAATTCATGTTTTGGCTTTTAATATTATTCAGATAAAGAAACTCAGATGTGCTTTTAATGGAATTCTAACGTTACATCGTAAAAATCTCAAAGCTTCTCAGAATCCCAAGGATTCATTGGGTACTGATAGCAAACTTTCTGCCCTGCCGAAACCCCCTTTGTGTGTGTGTCTGGTCCCCTCTAGTGGTCATCAGTAGGAAAACATCAATGATTTCCCAGCAAGATGCGAGACTCGTAGTGCCCTCTTTCTTCACAGGCTCTATGCCAGAACGTGCTGAAGCTGAGGGAAGATAACCTTCTGAGGTTAGAACAAATCACACATTTTGACCAAAGTTTACAATTACTTCTCTGCTCCCACTGTCAGTCTGCACGGCCATCAAGAACCACTTTAACATAGCTTTTGGCCTACTGGTGACAGTACCACCAGTTGCCACTGGAAGGCAGCACTGTCCAGGGTAAAGCTAATGTTAACTACAGATACCTGATCACAATGAGACAAACTATTAAATACCATACTTTACAAATCAGCCTTATTAGTCATTTAATATTCTTTAATTATCTTGAAAAAAGCTAAATTAAATTATATAAATGTGTAATAAATGCATACAGTGTGTCTCAACACCAACACTACGAAGTTGTGTACAAAGTAGGACCTATCGGCTGATCTTGAACTCCATCATTCTGTATGACGCAATACCATGACTATGTCTGTGTAAACACAGCCAGCTGACACTGAGGTATCTGTTTTTGAAATTCATAACCTCATAAGCAGATTCCCACTGAGACAGACCACCTTGTGCTGCTCAGATAAAGTCTACTTGAGCATCTTCCTTTATAAAGCTATATTTGCAGCTGCATGCATCCTTTCCAAACCCCAGGATGCTGTACATAATAATAAGGGGAAAAAGTATGATAAAAAGTAAAAGAAAAAGTTAAATTAGAACAATAGAAAGCAGGGCAATCAGACCTAGGGCCTAGTAAAAAGGCGAGTTTTGAGTTTAGATTTGAAGAGAGTCAAAAAAAGGAAGGGCATCCCATAACAATGGAACAGCGACAGAAAAGGCATTCAGGCAGCAGACCGGAGCCTATGGGCAGCGTAAACATGGGGGAGTACAGAGATGGGTGATGGAGGCTTATTATCTGAAGCCTTTAAAGTCCGCTAACAGGACCTTTTATCAAACATGTGATTCTATAAAAAAGCAGTGCAGAAGTTTAGGTGTAGGAGTGAATTGCGGCTCTAAAACCTACAATTAGCTCCTTTATTGTTAAGGATTCAGTTCTAGTGCATGTGTTTTCCCTCAGGACCAGACCAAGGTGCAGGAGAGATAACGCACAACATGGCAGAAGGCTAGGAAAAAGAGCTCATTATAAAGAGTTTCCTCTGCCACTGAGAAGGTGACTGGAGAGCCTTGTACTTTGTCTTTCTGACGAGCCATTTACTGTAGATGAGGTCATATATCGAAATGGATTTGCTGAACCAACAGCATTTGTTAACCCCATAAATCTCTGTAAACCTAATCCGGATAACAGAATCTTCTAAACCAGTTATCTATTAACATTAAACATGATTTTAATTTAAAAATGAAAATGTTAATATTCTTGAAGTCCTTTGCCGTAACCATTGTGTCCCATTTATAGAGTAAACGGTCACGCTCTCTTTCCGAATCCAGGTCGAATGAATGGAAACAGCCCTATCTTTCGTAAGATTTGCAGCATGGCTTATCAGAACGCCACAGATAAACATCCTCTAGCGCAGCCACAGCATGGCAAATTGTGGCTGTCATCTGGACCGCCTCGCACTGAGTGCGATATGAATTCAGCTTGCAGGCCAGGCCCAGGCGATGGGTACGGTCGATTAAATCCACCTGCTCCTGCTACAGACACGCCGAAGCAGACACAGCACACTTCACCTCCTCTACAAACCTCTGGTGTCGCAGCTGCGGAGGCACATTATATGGAGGTATAGGGATAGCCATTCAAAAAGACAAATATCAGCCAGGAGCCCTCAAAAGAAGAGCTGGAAAAGAAACTCACTTTCTTTAAAGAAGGCCCACCCTTTTTTTTTTTAGATTATTCAAATTCCATTGCCTTGACTGACGGGCTGAACATTTGAAGTACGACTTTCACAGAAGTGCTGTCACCCCTGTGGCCTGAATCTGAATCTCTACAGAGAACTCGGAGTTCTCCTGTTAACTATGGAGTCTCGGTGAAGGCCATTTTAATCTTTCCTCCTTGATTTCCAAGCGGGGGGAGTAATTGTTCCCAATCTTTCACCCCACTCACTCTGCTGCGCAGGGAGACTACTAGTATTATGATGTTACAATACTATAGGTGTATCCATCCATTAACAGAAAACTCCTTTTTCTTGGGAAGGGTTTCCTCTGGTTTCCTCTGTTTCCCTCCCACTGTCCAAAAACATATTGTTTGGTTATCTGGATTCTGGAAAAATGAGCCCTGGTGTGAGTTTGTGTTGGTCTGTGTCTGCCCTATGATGAACTGGCGTCCCATCCAGGGCGTAACCTGCCTTGTGCCCACTGCTTGCTGGGATAGGTTCTGTGAGTAATATATAATAATACAATGCTAGGGTGTAACATTCTTTACAGCAAACATGCAAACAAATAAGTGTTTACAGACTGTAAAAGAACAGTACATGACAATTGTCCACTGATGGTATAAAATATGGTCTTATTATTCCTTGTATTCTGCATAGTTATTTTCATCCAAAACAGCTCAAAAGAGGTCAAACAAATACAAAGCAGTAAGATTGCTGTAACAGTTTTAATGTAGTAATACCAGAATATTATTTTGACCTTAATAACACTGAATGTTCACTATTTGCATACATTTTGTATGGTAAATACCTTTGTCTTGGACAGCATTTCCATCAAAGTATTGCAAATATTTATAATTATCACAGAAAAACCTTATCTCTGGAGTTCTGCAGGCAGAAGGTATTATGTAGGAACTTGCTGTTGCTCTAGATACATTCACATTATATCCACTATAAAGAAAGGGAGTTTTATAAGGCTTTAAAATCCCAGTGTGTGTGAAAGTACTGATAATGTCTAAAATGAACAAAGCCTCCTCACATCTTTTAAGGTATGCATTCGTTTACATAAGCAATTTTCCAATGGGGAAATTGGATACATTGCAATGCAGCTGGCTACACGACTGATATAGGCGATAACTGTTTTGTGATCTATAGATGATAATAATAATAATAATAATAATGGTGACTCCACCTCCACCAGTGTGCAGCCTCACCTGGCAGCTATAGTGCACCAGTATGCTCCTCACACACCAGGTATTAGTGGGGAGGAGAACAGAGTGATGAAGCCAGTTCGGAGATGGGGATTATTAGGAGGTAAGGGCACTTTCAAGAAATTAAGGCCAATTATTTGCCTTCTAAAGAGAAAATGAAAGTTTCAGAATCTTACACTTTACAGGCAGTTTCTGGGAGAACAATGACTTCTATTCTTGAAAAAAAAAGACAGGTTGAAACGATACTTGATGTTTATAACATGCAATTGAATTAAATGAAGGATCAGTGGTAACTGGGTATTTAGTCAAATGTAAAATTTTGAAACAAGGAAATAGCATTCCTAGTAATTCAGGAATATACATGTTGCCATCAACTGTAAACCCGAAAGAGCTAAAAAACATACAATATATCATAACATACTTACAGTATGTGACTCTACAGCTCGTAATTACAATTTATAAACATACATTTTATTTGAGACACCTTTATTTTAGCCCCCAAAAGCCTTCTAAATGTTGCAGAAATAAGGCTAATCATGCCATTACTGTTGTGTTATTTCACAATACAAAAGCCAGAACATTTTTACAGTGCATAAAAATGTTTTTCATTTATAAACTTAGCATTTATAAACTCTAACCCTTAAAAATGATATTTTATAGGTCAAAACTAAATTTGTAGTTCCTATCTTTGTCCACTAGGTTACACTACAGCTCCCATTCAAACAGCTTCATTGTTCCTGAAACTGCAAAATTACTCTGAAGGAATTAATCACATATATATTCTTTTTAAAATGTTTTATTGTGCAATACTTTATTTTTTTAGAAATTGAACAGCATCACAAATACGATTACTTAGCTTATCCTACAATAACTGAAGTAGTAATTTTTCTCCCTAACCAAAAGTAACAATTCATACAGTAGGTGGTGAGGGTGAAAACAGCATACACAGATCTTATAGTAAAATAAAACAAAATTTCTCATATTTAACACTACTGCTCTTCAAAGACATGGTAGTGGGCTAATTCTTTTCACAACAAGCCATGGCCTTTAAGGTTGTGATAAAATTGTGAGTTTCTAATTCTATCCCTCCAGGCATCACCAATCATTGATGATCATATCATGTACTTTGCATATCAAACGTCTGAGCAGAAAGCAATCTCCATCTGTGATTTTACTGGAATCTTATCTCTCTTTATCGGGATCAAAGCAGTAAGAAACTTCTTCTCAAACAA